TAATGATATAAAATTAATCAAAGTGTAAAATAATAAAGAGAAACAGATTAATTAAAGTTCGAATTACATGCTAAATTAAAAATTGCATTAAAAAATAAAGTAACTATCCCAGCTATAAGAAATAATAATAATAAATCAAGGTCAAATTGAAATTGATTCAACTCAATTAATATTGAATTGATGTTGATTCAACATTGATTAAGCAATCATTTCTGAGGTGTAATTTCGAAGTCCAAAGTAAGAAAAGATCAAATGTCAATGTCTGTAGAATTTAATATGCATTGAAGTGTAAAAAGAAATTCATTATTTTTGCATGGAAAAATAATGGATTTCTTTTTACTACATCTAATATTAGGAGTTCGGGTAAATATCTTTTTATGACTTTAGCGACATGAGGCCGAGCGTTGTCATGAAGAAGAATAACTTTATCTTTGCTCGTATTCTGGCCGTTTTTCTCACAATGCACGGCTTAAACGAATCAATTGTAGCCGATACCGATCGCCCGTAATGGAATCGCCAGGTTTCAGCAGCTCCTAGTAAACAAGACCTTTTTGGTCCCATTAGATACAAAGCATGATCTTCGAACCATGAATGTTCGGCCGTGATGTTGATGTTGAGATCGATGGTTGAGAACGATTGACTGGGCTTAGCGTATTTTTTCTTCTTGGGATTGTCATAGAATATCCACTTCCCATCTCCAGTCACAATCCGATGCAAAAAACCTTTTCTCTGTTGTCTTTGAATCAGCAAGTGAAAAATCGCCTTTCAATGTCTTTCGGTCTCAGTTCATAAGGCACCCAATTTCCTTGTTTTTGAATCATTTCCATGGCTCTCAATCGTACAGAAATGACTTGTTGAGTTACCCCCAATGATTCTGCAAGCTCCTCTTTAACTCTGATCTTCTTCGAATAATGCCTCTAATTCTTTGTCTTCGAATTTTTTTGGCTGTCCAGAGCGAGGCTTGTCTTCAACGTTGAAATCTCCATCCTTGAAATGTCGAAACATTCCCTGATTGACATGATTTATCAGTTGGAGCAGTGTTATAAACTTCGACAAGTATTCGATGGGCTTCAGCCGCACTTTTCTTCCAATTAAAGCAAAAAATCAAAACCTCCCGCAAATGCTGCTTGTTAACACAAAATTCGACATTTCAAACACAGTAAAAATCAAGGTTTTTGAATGAAACTCAAAGCGATATAAACTGAATATTATTAGCAGATGTTTAACCTTTCTAAAACCGCCAAAATCAGCTGTTACTATGAATCATTCACAACAGCTGGAGCCTTTAGGGAAACGGACCGAACTAATTTGTACTCCCAATAAAAAGATATTTGATAGCTGTGATTATAATTGCAAAATAGTTACTGCTAGTATTAGTAATAATAATCATATAAAAGTTCTCTCAAATAAAAAAGTTAGAAGTCTGCGATCTATACAATAAATGTTTCTTTGTTTCAACTTACAAGAAACAAGGACACCTATTTATAGGCCGCAGCCTAAATGCAGTGTAAACGTTACTATATAGAATACAGATTTAGAGTGAAACTGGATTATAAAAGAAAAATGCCAAAAATGAAATTGTAAAGATTACACATTTCTCAGTACATACTTTTTATTGTTTTCTTTCAACTCTAAACTTTTGTCTTCTACAATCGAATCTAAATTTTGAATGTGTCTATACGTGTCATTCAAAGTGTTAAGTTTAGTAAATGTATACATTGATTACAGTAAATTACAGTAAATGTATATATTTACTAACACTTTGATTGTAATATAATAATATATGTATATTTGTGCGTGTGTGCGTGCGTGCGTGCGTGTGTGTGTGTGTGTGTGTGTGTGTGTGTGTGTGTGTGTGTGTGTGTGTGTGTGTGTGTGTGTGTGAAAGAGATATATGGAGCATTTCATGCCAGGTCAGCCCATTTTATGACGAAGCTTTATTTTGTTTGTTTTTTTCTTTGAACATGAAAAATCAGATTTTCAGATTTTCATCACAATCAGATTTTCCGCTGCTAAAATAGTGCCATCAATACAAAAGTACTACTGTTTTATTCCGCTTTCTGTAGAAAAGAAACTATCGGTTAAGAAATTCTAATGCCACTGCTCAAATTACTTCCCCCCGAAAATAAACGATAAAATATGAAAATATTCCAGAAAATAGAAATAAAAAATAAAAACAACAAAAAATAACAAAAATATAAAAATATCAAAAGATTAATAAAAATAACAAAAAAAAAATAAAAATAAAATTTAAAAAAAATACAATGTGCGGGCTTTAAAGACAATCTCAACCTGTTAACGCAGAGAACAATCATTTTTAAACTCATGTGCATGTACAAAAATATCATCAGAGCCTAACAATGATTTTTCTGCCGATTGGGCTGAGCGAGATGGCGCGCTGGCAGAGTGACATTGCCTCACTTTCCGAGCTCTTATTCCCAAACGAATGTGTATCCCATTATGTCCTTTTAAATTTACAAAATAGAGACTTAGGGCTACATTTTGAGCTATATTAAAAGAAAATCGAAACTCTTTTAGTCGCGCCGGCATTTTGAAAAACAGACAGAAATCGTCAAAAACAATCCGATCGAAAAAAAAATATTTTCGCGTGAAAGAGCGTTAAATTTTCTATAATAAAATGTCAATATTTCATTTTCAAACTTGCCTTTCATAGCAACGACAAGCGAAAAGAGCGTTGCGATGAGAAAGTCCAAAAATTGACGGCTCTACAGTTCGGCAATCAGTTAGCCTATGGGTCTATTATTCGACATAGAATCTTTATTTATTAAAATGTAATTAACTGTTCAAGCAATATAAACGAATTCCATGAAACTTCGCAAAATGGGTGGCTTGGCATGGAATGCTCCATATATTATATGTATATGTAGAAATAGGGCATTTCACGGTTAGCTATTAGATGTGGGAAAAAGTTTGTGGCGTTTTTCCCGTTACATCTAACGGGAAAAACGCCACAAACTTTTTCCCACACCTAATATTATTTCTGAAAGTATACGTCGAATCAAAAATCTGTTCAGACAAAAGTATTATAATTTTAAAAAGGACAAATCATGGATAATCAATTTTTTTGAAAAACAATTTTTTAAGGTCACATAGAAATCACGCTTTTAAATGGAAAATAATAATATGATTTTTTTATAATATTACCCAGTGAAAAATGAGAATGGAATCGACATCGATTTCATTGTCATTTCTCATTGGATATTACCTCAATTATTAGCATATAAAACATATAAAAGAATTAAGATGAAAAGGCAAAATATTAATAGATTATATTAATAGATTACGAAGGAGAGCGGAAAAGATATTTTATTATAGCACATTTTGATATAAAATATAAAATATCTCGTAAACTAAAATTTTTAATAAACATAGTATAAAAGAAGGAAATACCATTTTTTAAATTAACATTACTTCGATACAAATACACATACAGACTTTAAATTTATGCAAAATTCTTAAGGAATATGTTAACTTTAATAAATAAAATATTTAATAAATAAAAGTTGTCAAAATTTAAGTCCAACGTCAATATTAACAAACAACGTAAAAATGATGAAAATAGGAACTTCTAAAAAATGAGATGTAATATATAGATGGAATACAAATCAAATGAGGAATAGTAATAAATAACATATAAAATAATAATAAATAACAATAAATGAAGTGAAAATTTATTTATTTATCTAAATTAATCACAAAATAGAGTTAAAAATAGTTCATATTTTGTATTAACAACACGTAAAAAATAAAATGTTATTATTGACATATCGACAATAAAGAATAAAATTAAATTTAGAATTATTAAATGATTATGTAAAATAAATATTAACAAATAAACATAATTCTAAAATAAATAATATTGCTTACAAGAACTAATTTTCTACTCTTGTATTCCATATTATCTGCGTCTTTATATGATAATCTTCGCGTAGCAATAAACAAATTAGAAATTTCAATTAATCAAAATAATATTGTTTATGAAACATTATTAACATTTTATCAAACACAAGTATATTTGTGTTTTGATGTAAGAGCATTATACATATGGCCATATGAAAATTTGTGTGAGAGAATTACCATTTAAGATATTTTAATGTACTTATTTAGTAGACATCCTGTATATATATATATATATATATATATAATGTATATAGGTGAAATATTTAAAATGTCATAAGTTCATGACATTTAAAATGAGTTAATTCGTGTTTATTTATATCTCAATGACTGACCGAAATAGTTTTGGTTTAAAAAAACAATCGGATCGTAAAATGTTAAAATCGTCTATACAATATAAGCATTAAAAAAATTTACCTTCAGTTTTCGAGAACACAATTAAATAAAATTCTCAAATCTCCATACACAACAAAAATAAATAAATGCTTCTGTTAACAATATGCCTTATCGCATTGAGTTCATTACTTGTTATAATACGTTTGCCATTAACTACATCAACTTCCAATGATTGCCGCTAGATTGCAATGCTTTATTTAAAAAATAAATCCCTATTTCTCGTGCAATATTACCATGTATTACCTGGGGTTTTTCTTTTATTTTCAATTAAAAAAAATCCCTATATCATTTTAGTAGCATATTTCATATTCCTTGCTTAATAATGAGATGAATCAATTTGTGTAAAAAAATCACGTAACTGATATTTATTATTATCATTAAAAATGATGATATTCAGGACGCGCTTACAACGATGTTAGCGCTATTATACTTTATGTTACGCATATTATAGAATTTCAAAGATAAAAACGCATTCTGAATACGAGTGAATATTTATATATGTATAGTTACATAGCTTATGACATTTTAAATGTCCCACTGTATATATACATAATATATATATACAGGACGTGTACTAATTAAGTACACTAAAATATTTTAAAAGATAATTCCCTCACACAAATTCTTCATATAATTCTTCATATGTACGAAACGACTTAGTTTTAAAAATACCTGTATGAAGGACGTAAAGCTTTATCTTTTTATACATTATTTTTTTATTCAATTAGAGATGAATCCAAGATAAATACTTTTTTTACGATAAAAAAACCTGATTTTTTCTTAAGTTTGAAACTTTTTTATGGTATTTAAATGGGATGAATCGAGTAGAAAAAAAAATCTCTTTAATATTTTTGATAGAGTGAGTCATTTCGGAGAAAAAAAATTAATTGAATAAATTGAAATTCATACATTGCAAAATTGTTTTATCTTATTATTGGTAGATAATTATCTCGGAAATGGCTTGTACTATCAAAAATATTAAAGAAACCTTTTTTCTGCTAATTTATCTCTTTTATTATAAAAATTTTATTCAAATAAGGAAAATCAGTGATGTAACTTTTTTTTTTGTAAAATAACGTTGCCACTTATTCTTGGATCTATCCTTGATTGAATAACAAAATAATGTATAATTTCAAAAAAAGAGACTTCATATCCTTCAAATATATATATTTCATCATTAAAATAGTCTAAATTCTTGAAATTTTTTAAAAAACGAAATTTTTTTTTAACTTTGACATTATGTATGTCTTTGAAACTAAACCGTTTCAATCAAAAGTTTTCGTCTCGAATTTGTATGAGCAATCATTTAAAATCTTTAGTGTGGGACACCCTATATACAAATTAACTTTTTCCACGTATATATTTAAGATAGCAAAATTGCTCTAATAGAATTTTGTATCTCTAAGTTCCTAAATTTTACCGTAGAATAAAAAATGTCATTAATATATTTCATTAATTATTGCAATGTTTAATGTTCTACTGAAAATTATATAGAATTGCGGTTTTCGAACATATACCGGCTGTAACAGAAGCATCGCGGGATTATTATCAGCAAAGTACAAGTGCTGCAAGTCCTAAAGCACTGGGTATTGAATTCGAAGTATGTATTAAAATGTGTAATAAAAAATAAATAAAATAGTACATAACAATAAAAGTTAAAATTAAAAAACATTAGCTAAAAAAAATAAAACATGATATTCATAAAATAATGTTTATAAAATAAATTAAAAATTGTATATTTATATTGTAATGCAACTTAAATAAATTTTATTAAATATTTTATTAAATATTAATTTTATTAAATATTAATTTTTTTTATAGACTTTATCGCAAACTGATCTGAAGAACCAAGTGTTTAAATTTTTTAAAATCTTTAAAAATAACATGCCTCCTAATTTTTTAATACATAAAAATAAATATACAAATTGTTCTCCTCTTATATCCTATTTTTATATTAATTTAATAGAAAATTTTCAAGATCTTAATTAATGGAAGATTTATTGTTTCAGTTAATCCGAGTTATAGCAAAGGCAATGAATTTCAAAGCAGATTATTATATGCCTTCTAATATCGCCAATGAAAGATGGGGTAAAGTGAGAGATAACGGTAGTTATACGGGCCTTCTTGGCGAAGCAATTGCCGAAAATGCCGACTTCTTTCTCGGAGATCTGTATTACACGTTGTATTACTTGAATTATTTTGATCTATCGACGCCGTACAACACGGAATGTCTTACATTCTTAACACCGGAAGCATTAACTGATAATTCATGGAAATTACTGATACTACCTTTCAAGTAAATTATTAATGTCACAATATATACTTATCGTACGAATAATTTACAAATTATTCGTTGAAAATTATTTTAAAAGACTTAACAGCACTTCGAAGACTGTAATTATTCCAATTAATCAAAATAAATAATTCTATAATGAATTGTTTATTTATATTTTTGCCGAATAAGAAAGAAGTAACCGGTTACCTTCCATCTTTCTATATGGTCTACCTAAGCTTTGTGATTTTTTTTAATTTTTAATTGACAATAAAAATTGATCAGATTTAAAAGAAAAAAAAGATTATAATCTAAACAAAAAATATTTATCTATGTTCATCATCATTAAAAATATTTATTTATGTTTATCATAAATATTATATAAAACATTTAGTCTTTTAATAATATTTTCGAATAAAGCTTATATAAAAATCCGGGAAAAAATATTTATATCAAATTATATATATAAATGACATATTTTATATACAATTAT